CTCTGCCAGGCGTTGGATTTCTTCCTCCAGACGCCTTTCAACATCCTCGAAGGTTGTATCGAGGCTGTATCTGCGGCCGACGTTGCCCTTGATCAGCGCCCACACGAGCTCGATTGGGTTGAGGTCGCTGTAGCACGGAGGGGAGAAGAGCACCTTGTGGCCTTGCGCCTCGGCCAGCTGCACCACCTCGGGTTGGACGTGGTTCTTCACCCACAACTTCAGGCGGTCTTTCAGCTCGCAGGAGAAGTCAATCTCGCTCACGGTCAGGTTCCTGGCTCGCAGAGCTGCAATGACGTCCGCTTTCTTCATTCTCCCCGGGACTGGCGTGTCTGGTGGGAGGGTGCGGTGGTACGCTGCGTTGTCCATGATGATGAGCGACGGCTGGTGCAGGTTCGGCAGCAACGCATCCTTGAACCAGCTGATGAAGTTGTCAGAATTAAAGGCTTTATGATAGTCCCCTGTATGGAAGCTCCCACGAGAAGGCTTCCGGGGACGGCCCTGCTGTTGCTGTGGTTGCTCAGGGAGGTCTTCGTCAGCGACGGGGCACTTCTTCCGCGTGTGCCCTGGCTGCTTGCATCGACCACACTTGCGTGTGGATGGTTGCTTCTGTGGTTGTTGAGGCAGGTTTTCTTCAGCGACGGGGCACTTCTTCCGCGTGTGCCCTGGCTGCTTGCACCGGCTGCACTTGCGCGCTGATGACTGCGATGCTTGTGGCTGCTCCTCATCGCCTGCACCGTCAGTCTGAGGAATTCGCAGGGATTGGAGGCAGACACGCCGATGGTGGTGATGGTGATGATGGTGGCGGCTGCTGCTGCTGCTGTTGTTGTTCGTTGTGTGTGTTTTGTTGTTGTTGTTGTTGTTGTTGTTGTTGTTGTTGTTGTTGTTGTTGTTGTTGTCGTTGTCGTTGTTGTTGTCGTTGTTGTTGTCGTTGTTGTCGCCGCTCACGCTGCAGTGCGCTGCCAGGGTCGAAGATCCAGCTCGTGCCTGGAACAGGACCGGCGAGGGCGCGGTCGTTGCGGTCACTGACGGTGCACACGCGCGGATCCGGGCCCTGAACTGCGAGGGCAAAGCAGTAGCGCCGACCCCGCTTGATCTTGCGATGACTGTGCATGTCTTGACCGTCGTTGGGGTCATACAGGGAGTCTCTGTTCCTGTTGTAGTTCCTGTCAATGTATGATTCATCGAGATACACCTACAGGCAATTGAGCCACGTGAGACACGAAAAGGGAACATTGCACATGCGAAGAAACATCGACAACACAGCAGCATGGGCACACACACACACACACACACACACACACACACACACACACACACACACACACACACACACACACACACACACACACACACACAGCTCTCTGAGGCGCTCGACAGGTGGCAACCTCCTGTTTGCATCAAACTCCTTCAGATACTTTGCGAGCAGCTGCTTGTGCCTCGGGTTCTCTTGGAACAACGTGCATTGTTGCCGCGAAGGTAGCCCGCACGACGAAGAAAACAGCTGCACCGCCCGCAGAGCCGCCGCCCTAGCGCCCTGTCCAGTCAAGCACCTGTACGGCCGTGATGCGGTGTCCACCTTCTCTCTGCATGCGCACGTGATCGCGAACCTGCCTGAGCACACGTTTTGTCGTG